GGCATCTTTCAAACAAATTGATTCAACACAAATATTGTGCTACAAAGCCTTTTATATTCAAATGTTTATACCAAAATGTCTTTTATATCAGTTACATATTGGTCTTATGCTTAATATTGAATCATAAAAATTCATGTACCAGGAGATCAATAGGAGTTAGTAGTATCTTCAAATTCTTTGGATTCATCCAGAAAGAATAGTAAGGGCTCTTGAAATGTGTGCTTCAATAAAGTAAACTCTTCCCCCCCCCCCCCGTCATCCAGCTCTGCCTCTACCTCTTTCTCTCCCATCCCCAGAAAGTAGGAAAATAGCCAATATTTTATGACATTCAAAAATCTTGCAGCTGGGTCTATAGTATCAATATTTGTGTGTCGAAAACACTTCAGAACAACAAATCCTTTCATAATACATTTCCAGGTGCAAATGGCTGCCCTTTTGATTATGTTCCACAGCACTGTGGCCAGGGGGAAATCCTTACTATCCTCGACCATTGCAATAGAATGCCACTTGATTCAGTTTCCTCTCAGGAATGGATTGGCCAACACTTTCAGAAACTGCACACTTCACACAGTACTCTGAAATGATAAAGCTCTGTGGTGGTAATTGAACTTTTTAAAACATATACCAATGAGAGAAGTGATTGGCTTATAATTGTGTCTTAAAGGCTTCTTGTAGCTTTATATTTCAACAATTGACCTCATCACACAAAGGATGGTCTTCGGCTTTATGATACTGCCTATGTACCAGAGCAGGGCAGGACATTTTGCTACCTGAGGCAAAGGACAAGATGGTACTGTATAGGGAGGAGCTGGATAAGCTTGGTTGGTGCCAGCCAATCACAGTTAAGGGAATGCTGTGAACATGAACCTGTGGGGGAGAAAGGATACAACATGGAAGCTTACCTTTATTGGCTAACCAAAATGCACAAAATACTTCATGCAAGCTTTAAAAGCTGCACTGGCTTCTTCATGGTGTCATCTGCATATCTTAAATTGTTGATGTTTTTCCAAAAATTTTCATGCCTCTTTCCTCAAAGACTAATCTAATTTTATGTATGATACATTGAGAGTATAAATTAAACAGATTAGGAGAAAAGATGCAGCTTTGTCTGTCTCCCTCCCCAGTTGAAATCCATTCTTTTTCTCCTTATTCTGTCCTAATGATGACCTCTTGTCCTATATACAGGTTACGCATCAGGAACATCAAATGTTGTGGCACACCCATTTTTTAAAAAAGCGATTCATAGCTTTTCGTGACCTACACAATCAAAGGCTTTGCCATAATCTATAAAGCACAGGCTGATTTTCTTCTGAAATATTTGGTGTGCTCCATTAACCAAGGTATATTTAAAATTATTCAGGGATGTATTTTGGTCTGATAGTCAGTTTAGTGTTCTTCTTTAGCTTTACTCTATTTTTTGATATTAGTAGCTTATGGTTTGTGCATCATTTGTATATCCAAGGATATATTATCAGGTTATATCCAGTCATGTCTTTGGTTGCCTGAAGAATATGTATGCAATGAACAAATTGTTGCCCTCACAAAATTCAATCAGTTGTGCTCCTGCTGGATCCTAGTGTCCTGTCCTTACACTGATCTAGGAGGCAGGGTGTCAGGAGCTCAGAAGCCAAAGAAACAAGTAGAATCCAACATCAAACAGTCCAGGGTCAAAAGCTATAAATCTTACACACAGTCCACAGTAGCAGATAACAAGGTCAAGAAACAGTCCAGGATCATAAATATCAGAGGTGAGCCTCAAGAAACAGTCCAGGATTGTAAATCTTAGATTTAGTTCTCAGTGTAAATGCAGGATTCAGAAAGACATTCAGTTTGTTTCCAGCAACTGGAAGAGGAAAAGCCCCTGCCTTATAAAGCACACTGACTAAGCCCCACCCTACTTGTAGACTGTATTTCAGGAAGGCATGTTCCTAATGGGTGTACACAGCCTCTCACTTTATATGTGGGGGAGGGATTGGGTCTGTTCCACATGCTGCAGCTTTTTTCTTTCTTGAAGTATTATCTTTCCTACCTCCTCCTTCTGTAGATTTCAGGTGGCTGTCAGACTGAGCTGGAGGAGGGCACAGCTGTGGTAAATTAGCTTCCTCTTCAAAAGCTGGACTCTCAGAGTAGGGGGGCTGATGAGTGCTTTCTGCTCCATCTTCAGAAGTTGAACTTTCAAGCAGAGGCATGACATCTAGGTCAAATTCTCATTACAATGTTTGGTATAGCTTGGCAAGGTGCCACCAATGTTGTCTCTTAGAGATCTACTACTATTGTCAACCCTCACTACTGCTACTGCTGCCTAGTAGCTGTGTGCTAAATATATTCTTGCTCATTGGGAAAAAAAAACTGTCTGATTCTCTACCAGGAGCAGTGCTTCCATCAGCATAGCCCCTTGCCTCACAGAACACAATCCCACCACCACAGAAAGATAACGCCATAGTGAGATCTTTCTCTTCCCATCCCCCTATTATCTCCCTTATACTAAAAATGAAATTAACTGAGGGACTTTGCAGACTGTCAGAAATAGTGCAAATCGAGTCCACTTTAACTGCCCTGACTCAGTGCTAGGGAATCATGGGAACTATAGTTTTTTGTGGCACCAGAGCTCTCTGACAGAGAAGGCTCAATGTCTCAGAAAAAAAAAAAAACCAATTCCCGATTCCCAAGCACTGAGCCAGGGCAGTTAAAGTGGACTCAATTTGCACTATTTCTAGCAGTCTGCAAAGGAGTCTCGTTAAGTCTTAGCTTAGCACTCTTAGAAAATGTTACTATAGCTATTTGCGTGTCTCCAATAAAGCCTTAATTTGTTTCTTTAGCCATTGATGTTTTTACATCTTAATCAGTATTGCCAGATATGACCTCTCTAGCTCTTGATTGGGAGGACAAAGCATTCCTTGTCTTCTTGAGGAAAGAAGGGACTCCAGCTCTTCCTACAAATGCTGCTGATTTGTGTTGACATGCTTTTAGAGCATCACCTTTGATTTTAGTGGGTGAAAACTAGTGGGTAAGGTAGAGTTAAAAAAAAAAAACAGCTGAGGAAGCCACATGAGACCCCTCCTTATTCTTTGGAAATAAAGAGTAAAGCTTTCAGAATGGAAGTCTTCAGAATGAAAGAGCTCTGCATAAGCAGTTAAGCTCTCATACCCATAAGATATACTATATTGTTGTGTTGTTATTTGTTCCCCTTGTGCATTTCTACATCATTATGATCAAATCACTGATTTCAGAATCTCAATAGTTTATACAAGAATGGTGTTTATACACTTTAGCACTTTCAGCCTTATACTCTTTAGCACTTTCATGTGAAGATGAGTTCTGCTGTCATCAGTATGATTTGCTGCTGGCAGATAAAGTGATTCCTGATTGAGGATTAGGTATCAAACAAGTAGTGGCTTTTTAACACTCAAATGATGAACAGCATATTCCATAAGATCTGCATGATCGCACACCATATAAAGCCTTTGTTTTCTGTCTCATGTCAGGTTTTATGTACCTAACATAGCTAGTGTTACTATCCCAAGTACAGTAGCAATATTAGATTATGGAAATGCTATTTATCACCATGAACTGAAACCACAGATGCAAGAGACTGGAAATTCTCTTATGATAGATCATGTTGGCTTATACTGCAGTGACATTCTCTTCTATGCATCTCTCCTGGATGTGTGATAGTTTGGATGATTAAACACTGAGAATACACATAAATTGCATCTGCATCAAGATCTATTTAAATGCATGAAGAGTAATTCACTCATTTATTGCTGCACAACTTGACTGTTGGCAGAACAAGGATAATTATTCATGGAGGTCAAACACACATGCACATTTCTCAAGGACTGTAAAAGAATTTGGAAGTCATCATCAATTTCCCCCCTTTCACATGGACCAGAAACTAGAAAAAAGCATCAGAGTACAATTTCCTTCTACTATCCATTTATTCCTTGGATACTATGTCTTGCACTTAATTAATGCTGTCAGAATCACAATAGTCATGCTGGGGAAAGTGCAGATTATGAGGATGGGGTGGCATTTTATCAGAGATGACCCTACCATGAAACATGGTGAAGTAACATGCTTCAGATATTAGCATAACACCATAAGCAGCAAGGAAGAGAAGAAGGAGCTTCAATGGTATTGCAAACTGTGATCCTGCACTGATATGCACTACCAAAAATATTTCTGTGACCCTTAGCACCTCCTGACCAACTTTTTTCTAGCAGGGGGGAAAAGGGGAGGATGAATTGGTGTACTTGGAAACCTCCAAAAGCAACAATGTATCTTTTAAACAAGTTGCAAGGCTTCCTTGTGCTATTTAACACACACACACACACACATTTTTGAAAACCAGAAGTAGAGTTCTAATAACTTTGGAGTGATCCTTTTATTTCCCATGCAGCTTTTAGAAGTTCCTGAGTAATAAAAGTAAGCCTAGGACTATCTTGTGATACAAAGGATTCTTAAACCAAGAACAAGCAATCTTAGGTCTTGAGGCCAAATTCTGCCCTCCTGAAGTCCTAGCCTGGTCCTTATCAATCCTCTTTCCCCATGACATCACCATTTTGTGTTCCCATTTTTTTGTACAGGTGCATTTTCCTCAATCTAAAGGGTTTGCATATCTCCTCTAAGGCATAGCTGTGTGTGCATGTGCCCTCAAGTCACCTGTTGACTTATGGAGACCCCATGAATTTCATAACGTTTTCTTAGGCAGGGAACACTCAGTGGTTTTTATCTAGATGTTAACATATTCTGGTTTTGGGGTGTTTTTTTTTTTTTTGTCATACCCATTGGCCCTATTCCAACATGGGATTGCAGCCCGCAAGAATTTCTGATACTGATTCCATCCCTTGAGCTAAACAAGGATCCCTACTTTTGTTTCAAACTGCTGGCCCCAACCAGCATGGGCATGTTGGGCTCTCTTATAGGTGGTATAATGTCTTGGGCTAGCCTAGGTGAATTGAAGTTAAAATCTTGGTTTATAGTTAAAGCAAACAGAAACAGTCAGTGTGGTTTAGTGGCTTGAGTGTTGGTCTAGGACCCCAGAGACCAGGGTTGAAACCCTGCTCAGCCATGGAAACCCACTTGGTGACCTTGAGCAAATCTCACCCTCTCAGCCTAAGAGGAAGGCAATGGCAAACCTCCTCTAAATACATTTTTCTTTTGAGCCAGCATGATGGAGTCAGTTGAGAGTTGGACCAGAGCTCTGTGAGACCAGGATTCAAATTGCTTCACAGCCATGGAAACCCAATTAATGATTCTGGAGAAGCCACACTCTCTCAGCTTAAGAAGAAAACAATGACAAATTTGTCTGAACAAACTTTACCAATGAAATACTGGGACAGACCAGATGTTTATTTTTATGTGAGGCAGGATTTCCACTCAGCCTGGCTGAACTATAAAAACAGGACTTCGGGGGAGGCCTTACCATACAACATCCAGCAGAGAGACTGTGGACCACAGAAACCATCAGGGGGCTGTAGGAAGGAAGAGGCTACTGTGTTTGCTACTACCTCTGTTTCCCTCAGTGGTCTAGCTCTTTGCAGGACTGAAGCACTGATTCAGCAGGCACTGCTCTTTACACATGTACTTTATTCTTGCACTGGGTATAGAGGGCAAAGATTTGTCCTTTAGCTGAACATAGACGTTATCACACGGGGAGTAGTGAGGAGAAAGTGGAAATAAACGGGCACAAGCGGAAGTCTTTAATTTACGGGATTTGTCCCGTTCCGCCTTGTCTGATAACTAAATTCGAATTTAAAAGGGGGTTAATTCGAATGCAAACCTGATCTTTTCATTTTCGGGATTTTTGAGGATTTGAAAAGATCAGGTTTTTGTTTGAATTAACCCCCTTTTAAATTCGAATTTAGTTATCAGACGAGGTGGAACGGGACAAATCCCGTAAATTAAAGTCTTCCGCTCGTCCGGTTTATTTCCACTTTCTCCCCGCAACTCCCAATGTGATAACGTCCAAGGGTCTGTTACCTGCATTGCCTGCTCGGCCTCAGAGGGAGAGAGTCAGGCCAGCTCCATCAGGCTTAGTGTAAGTTAAGAAGAAGAACCCTCCCTCCAGTCCATCTGTCATGGTCCAGGCCTCAGAAGGAGAGAAGGACTGCTAGACGTTATCCCCTTCCCCACTGCTATTCCTTTTGTGTCATGTCTTTTTGGATTGTAAGCCTAAGGGAACCATCTAATTAAACATTTGTAAGCTGCTCTGAGAGCCTTTGTAGCTGAAAAGTGGGCTATAAATACTCCAAATGAATGAATGAATGAATGAATGAATAAATAAATGTTGTACCACTTTCTGGGTTGAACTACAATGTACTATTGCAAAAATAATCACAATTTGAGTACCAATATATATTTTTAGAAATAATACAACAAATTATTATTATTATTATTATTATTATTATTATTATTATTATTATTATTATTATTAAGTATTTATACCCTGCTATTCAGACAAAGGCTATCAGAGTGGCTTACAAGTGGATTAATAACAGTTCCCTGTCCTCAGGCTTACAGTCTAAAAAGACAAGACACAAAAGGAGAAGGGGATGGTGGTGGGTCCATCAGATCTTCTCTCCCTGAAAAGCCTGGACCAAAGCAGATGGACTGGAGCGAGGACCCTTCTTCTTCTTCTTCAGGCTAGGCCCGAAGAGATGGCCTGCCTTCTCTACCTCCAGATGATGGTTATTAGATATTAGGTTTAACAAATACATCCTGTCCCCAAAATTCAGTTTATCCAATGAGGTGCCAGGAATTCATTGCAGGACTCTTCTGCCACAGATACTATTTGAAAGCCTAAATACTAATAATACTAATAATACTAATACTAATAACAAAATAATACAAAATACAAAATAGATGCAAATGGAATATGGAAGTATTCAAAATTTACCCTTTTGTTCCCCCCTGAAAATGTATTATTGCTGTTGTTATGTGCCTTCTAATCATATCCAATTTGTAGCAACCCTGAGGTAAGGCTATCATGGGTTTTTCTTGACAAGATTTGTGCAGAAGCAGTTTGCCTTTGCCTTCCTCTGAAGCTGAGAGAATGTGACTTGCCCAAGGTATCAAATGGATTTCCATGGCCAAGTGGGCATTTGAACCCTAGTCTCCAGAGTCATAGTCCAACACACAAACCAGTGACTCTAAAAAGAGTCTACTCATTAGCTCTGATAACTGCAGCTCATCTCCAACTCTCTAAGCTAAGTACAGTCTTCTCCTTACAGTTTCACCACCCATTGGATGAAACCAATTACAGAATAATTCATACACATATATATGACAGGGCTTTCTCTGTAGCAGCACCCTGATTGTGATGGCTGACTCCATCCTGTTTTTCCAGAAGGCAGTGAAGACTTCTGTTTTGCATGGTCTTTGACTCTTAAAAGCAAGAGTTTCTTGACTGGCTGGCTTTTAAACTCTGTTCTGGTTTCAGAACTACCGTATATACTTATCTATATGTAAAAGAAAATGCCCCCAAAATGTCAGGTCAACTTATTTATGGGTCAGTATGGTAATGTGATAGCAGCTCTTTTACATTTCCCCAATACGGTGGAGAGAAAAGTGTCTTTGAGCCAGTGGAGCGAAGGCTGAAATGAAAGCTGAAAGCAAAAAGCCTCAATAAGTCTCTCTTGCTGTACACACATAGGACCTTATCCCACGCTGCTCTCAAAAGTGGCAAGAAACCGATATGAGCATCATTGCAGTACTATAGCGCTAGTATAATATGGCGCTAGCGCTATAATAGCGCTATGGATAAGGTAGCGCTATTGCAATGCCCGATGAAACCAGGCATTCAAAAGAACCCGAATGATGCTGCATTCCGAGCGGTTTCTTGTTGGATTCTGAGCGACGTCGTGGGATCACCCGGAAAACTATAGCGCTATAGCGCCTGATTCTTAGCGGATTCTGAGTGACGTCGTGGGATCACCCGGAAAACTATAGCGCTATAGCGCCTCATTCTTAGCGGATTCCGAGCGATGTCGTGGGATCACCCGGAAAACTATAGCGCTATAGCGCCTGATTCCATGTGGATTCTTGCTGCTTTTGGCCCCGTGGGATAAGGTCCATACACACACTGATGTTTTACTTGAAGCCTCCAAGTTTTACCCTTGACTTATCCATGTGTCATGGCAAAATCCATAATTTTGGCCCAAAATCTGCCCTTCACCTATACAAGAGGTTGACTTATGGTCAAGTATATACAGTACTTTAAAAAAGGAGTTTGGAGTGTTTTGAATTAGTTTTTTGCTATTCATTTTAAAGTGTTTTTATCCATTGTGCATTGCTTCAGCAGCCCTGGCAAGGTGAGAGTTGATAAATAAATGCCTTGGGAGGGGATTAATTAATTAATTAATTAGATTTATATCCTGCCTTTCTCCTTGGAGGGGACCCAAGGCAGCTAACAAATTAAAATTCTAAAAACATATTACAATAAAAAGTTAAAATCTCATCTAAAACAATATAAAATTACAAACACTAAAACCACACTAATACCATGATACCCAGCCTATATAACAAATAGCCAAGCCACCCCATGGTTATAAATTAAAAGCCTGCTTGAATAAAGCCCTTTTTGCTTACCATCAAAAGGCCATCAAGGAGGGGGCAAGCCTGGCTTTTTATGGAAGGGCATTTTAGAAGACGGGGCAGCCACTGAGAAGGCTCTCTCTTGTGTCCTCACCAGGTGAGTCTGTGATGGTGGAGGAAGCAAGAGAAAGCCTTCCCTGGAAGATCTTAGGGCTCTAGCAGGTTTGTATGGCAAGATGTGGTCTCTCGAATAATCTGGGCTTAAGCCGTGTAGGGCTTTATAAATTCTAACCAGCACCTTGAATTGTACCCAGAAATAGAACTGCTAGCCAGTGAAGCTTTTTTAACAAGGGAGTTATGTTATCCCTATAACTGGCCACTGTCAGCATTCTGGCTGCAGCATTTTGCACGCACTGAAATTCCCAAACAGTTTCCAAAGGCAACCTCATGTAGAGTGCATTGCAGTAGTCCAAATTGATTGTAATCAAGGCATGTGTCACTGTGGCCAGATCCGACATATCAAGGAATGGGCTCAGCTGGTGCACAAGTTTTAACTGGGCAAATGCACTCCTGGCCACTGCTGAAACCTGGGCATCCAGGTTCAGAGATAAGTCCAATAGCACACCCAATCTGCAAGCCTGGGATTTCAGAGGGAGTGTAACCCTATCCTGCACAGACAATGTTCCTATTTCCTGATCTTCCTTCTGATTGACCATATAACATATAAATGTTATAAATATAAATATTAAATAAAAACACCATACATACATATCAACCCATATATCTGCACATTTTACTCTCACAACCTGTTGTAAGGGTTGTTTAAGCTAAGAAATAGTGACTGACCCAAGATCACATGGTGAGATTCATGGCTGGTGAGGATTTTCCTCCAAAATTCTGGCTCACAGAGTTGGAAAGGCCTGAAAGATCACCTAAGTCCATTTCCCAACTGAACCAGGAAAACAACTGCTACAACATTGCTGACACCATCCAGCCCTGTGCTTAAAAAATAAAATAAAAACCTAATGAACTACCTTCTGAGGCAGTCTGTTCTATCACTGAACAGATCGTACCACCAGGAAGTTTTCTCCAGTGTTCAAATCTTGGCAGTTCTTGACAGCTTCTGAACATGCTGTGCTTAGCATCCCCTGACCCTTACATCCAGTACAATTAATAGCCCATTGTGCTGATTTTCTTCCTCTCTTTTAACTCCTTTGATACAGATGTCTAGAAAAGTCCTGCCATATTTACAAGAACCACATAAATCTTGCTTGAAAGGAATAACTTTAATTCTTTAAAAAAATATAGTGGCCAACACATAAAACTTTAGGTCATACTTCCTCATCAATCACTCCTAGATTTAAAAAGACTGTATTTTTTAAAAGAGTTTTGGAATCCTAAAACATTGGTCTCTTGGGATATTTTTCCTGTCTTGAAATCTGTGAATTATCTAGCTGGCACATTTTTTTTACCATTTTAAGGAGAAAATCAAGCTGTTCTTTGCTCACATAACTGAAGTCTAGTCCCCTTCAGGAC